ATTAAAAATTATTTTTTAATCATTTCCGATTCAATTTAATGTCATTTTGACGTTAACCGTTGACTTGTTGTTTTGCTTTTGGATATATAATATAGTATATGATTGTTACAGGATAGTGAAAAATTTCTAATTGATATGCTTGTCAGAACCATTATGCAACGGCAAATTAAATTACAAATTAGTTAGTTTGTACTAATTTGCAATATCTATAATTCCCCGTATTAAGCGATTATACATGCGCGATGGAAATACAAGGAAAAAAATCATGATGGATCAAGATGAGAAATTGAGCAATCCTTGTCTTTGTAAATTTAATAATTCATTACTTGAAAATGACCAGAATAATATTCATGTTAATCAATATTAAGCGAATTACTAAACAGTTTTATGAAAATAAAGGAACATAAACCAAATGTAAGGGGAGAATGGCACAAACATAAATGAAATTCTAAGAAAGCTTAAATGATTGGCATAAAAGATAAGCTGTTTCTTCTTAAAATGCTTTCTTTTGTATCGATTTTTGTTTTCTGAGAGTTTTGTCTATGCTTCTGTCATTTTTCTTTTATATTTGGTTTACGCTCCGATTTTTATTTTCACCAGGATAGTGATGGATTGACTATTAGGTGGTGAAACTATTGGATTAAATTATTATTCTCTTGTAGAATAAAAAAAGTACGATATAATTAAGCGAAAAATTAATATTTCAAAAATGCAATCTTTTTTTAAAAAATAAAACACATTTTTGATACATTTAATTTTTATAATATATGAAATATTTTTTGCAAGAATAGATAAATATTCTGTTTTTATTTTTATATCTAGGTCTTCGATTTCTATCGCTCAGGTCAAAACGTTCGAATTGTCACTGCTATAAATCAATGAACAAGGACTTTAATATGCATTAAGATATGTCGCATGAAGCATTCAGATTACAAAGGATTACAACATCGTTCGCGATGCGGGAGAGACGGAAATACCAGGCGCCACACACTAGTTGTGTGTATAAAAATATATTTACGATTTACATATATGCTAATGTAGCACACTTTTATCGATGAGTGTTGAACAAAATTCGAGTATCCATGCACGCACACATACACACTCCTGCAACACACCGTACTGTTTTACTGGTATGAAGTCACCACGCACAACATGATGATTTTTATGGTACCTAGCTTTTCGATTCGTGGAAATACACAATCAAGAAGTACATCTATCTATACATGCGGCGGCAAGAAGATTGGCGCCGAGATTAATCTCATAATAATATTTACGATCGTTCCACGTAACGATTTTGCATCTGGCTGATCTAGCACCTCGCTCTTTCCAGATCGTTCCAAGTAAAAATGTTAAATAACGTGATACAATAGAGAAAATTTTTCAAATGAGAGACTTTTTTCTCGTTGTTGTTGATGTTACAAAGTAGCTACGAGTAGCTAAAAAAACTATGGAAAAACTCTATTCGTGGAACAAGTAAGGTTTAATGTAAACTTCACACTGTACGTAGACGTTTGATGTATTAAAAATATGTACATATTTCACGATGTTTGTATTAAAAATTAATATTTAAATGTTATTAATGTACATAAAATAGTATCAGTAAATGATATGTACATATATGTTAATCAAAGAAAGACGCTGTAAATATTATAATAGAACAATCCGGTTTGCTAACATCGCGATTTAGTAACATTTTGAGCAACTGAATTGAGTAACAGATTTGTACACTTAAACTATAAATCATGAGAGAATGCAAGTAAGTATTATCACATGAGTAAAAACAGAAAAAGAGAAGGAAATAAAGTGTCATGATGAATCAAATAAGCGAAATTGATCGATATTTATCGTGATGTTAAGTTCTAGAAAGTATTTGGTCTGAGGTACATTAAAATATTCGCTTCTGTTAGCTATTTAAACATTACTGAGTGCAATTACTCATTACTACAATTATATAATTTAATTGTATTAGTATTTACTATCTTACTCTGTACAAATTTAATTTAAAGACATAGCAATATATGACATAGATATCTTAAGGCACATTTTCATATTTAACGTAAAATGTACCTGATTTTATATTTAATTTTATAGTCTCTTTTTATATTAAAATTATATTATACATATCACTAGATTGCAATTAGAATAGTAAATGTCATTCTGAAAATAAAATAAAAAAATTAAATGAAAAACATTAATTTTAAATATAAATATATATTTA